TATATATATATATCGATGTTTCAGTGCAACAAAATAAACAAATTCAAAATGTAAAAGGCCACTTGTTCTGTTACATGCTGCAGGGTTTCACCTACCATTAATGACAATGGTATGCAGATCGATAATGAAATATCAATACCACCAATAACCAGAACTTTAAGCTCTAAAATCAAAATACTGATATGCAGATAATTCAGTCATTTCATGTATATCATAAACAGGAACAGAGTGAAAAGTGACTAAACTATAGAAATCTTGTCTAAAATCACACACTGTTTGTGGGAACTATTTTTTGTTTGTGCTCAGTGTAGGTCTGGAGATGTTACATGTAATGTAAACTAAAATACAAGTTTTCACTTTTATGGTCCGTCCGTTTTCTGCCCCTTATCCAGGGTCGGGTCGCAGGGGCAGCAGCCTAAACAGAGATACCCAGACTTCCCTCTGCACAGCCACTTGGGCCAGCTCATCCAGAGGATTCCCAAGGCTTTCCCAGGCCAGTCGAGAGACGTAGTCCCTCCAGCYTGTCCTGGGTCTTCCTCTGGGTCTCCTCCCAGTGAGACGTGCCCAGAACACCTCACCAGGGAGGCGTCCAGGAGGCATCCTAACCAGATGCCTGAGCCACCTCAACTGGCTCCTCTCGACATGGAGGAGCAGCAACTATACTCTGAGTCCCTCCTGGATGACCGAGCTTCTCACCCTATCTCTGAGGGAGAGTCCAGACACCCTGTGGAGGAAACTCATTTCAGCTGCTTGTATCTGTGATCTCGTTCTTTCGGTCACTACCTGAAGCTCATGACCATAGATGAGGGCAGGAACACAGATCGACTGGTAAATCAAGAGCTTCACCTTCTGGCTCAGTTCCCGCTTCACCACAACAGACCGGTTCAGCGCCCGCATCACTGCAGATGCAGCACCAATCCGCCTGTCGATCTCCCGCTCCATTCTTCCCTCATTCGTGAACAAGACCCCGAGATACTTAAACTCCTCCACTTGGGGCAGAACCTCCTCCCTGACCCGGAGAAGGCACGCTACCGGTTTTCAGCTCAAGACCATGGTCTCGAATTTGGAGGCACTGATCATCATCCCGGCCGCTTCACACTCGGCTGCAAACTGCTCCAGTGAGAGCTGGAGATCAGGATCTGATGAAACCAATAGGACTACATCATCCGCAAAAAGCAGCGAAGCAATCCCAAGATCACCAAAAAGGATCCCCTCAACACCTTGGCTGTGCCTAGAAATTCTGTCCATAAAAGTTATGAACAGAATCGGTGACAAAGGGCAACCTTGGTGGAGTCCAACTCTCATCAGAAACAAGTCTGACTTACTACTGGCAATGTGGATCAAGCTCTGGCACCGGTCATACAAGGACCTAACAGCCCATATCAACAGGCCTGGTACCCCATACTCCCAGAGTACCCCCCACAGGAGTCCCCCAGGGACACAGTCCAACGCCTTCTCCAAGTCCACAAAACACATGTAGACTGGTTGAGCAAACTCCCACCCACCCTCCAGGACCCTGCTGAGGGTGAGGGTGAAGATTTTTGTGGTCGTTCTTAATTATTAACAGTTTTTATTGTTTTGTTTTAATTAATTTTATGAACATTACAAGACAACCTTTCTTCTTTCATCATCGAGCTATGTTTCTGGTTTCAATAACACAAAAGATTTTAGAGAGTAAAATTAAAACATTTGCTCATGACGCTTTGAGGATATCACAAGCTTATTTTGTGAGCTCATCTAGCTGCCAAGTCAAAGAAAAGTTCAGGGTAAATACTCTCAAACTCCCATTGAGCAGCTTTTTTTTTCTCTGACAGAACATGTAAACGATGCCTTTTCTTGATTTAGGGAACAGCTGCAGGGCCAGCAGTCCAGGTACGAGCCCAGCTGCACCCTCATCATTCCTCTGCTGCCTCTGATCCTCCAAGGAAACATTAACGCTTTAAAGGCTGCCACCCCCCCCAGTTTTTTTTTTTTACGAGCTGTGTTTACAAACACAAGGTGTGCTATGGTGGCACCTGGAGCGTGCGAGGGACTTGTAAGTGATTAGCTGAGCGAGGCCGGTTGGTGATTGCACCGCTGCAAGGATTTATGGGGGATTAGTCTAGGCCAATGAAAACCACTGGAGCCTAAAAGTGGTGCCAGCAGTAARTGCCACCATTTGCTGCTTTAAGGTGAAAGATGTGAAGAGGTTTGTCACATCTGGTACATTACAAGAATGTATGTGTAAAAAAATACACTGGTTTCATCTACTATGTTCAAAACATAAAATAACAAGACTGAAAAACAAAATTAATTTAGTTAAAATTGCTTAAAAAAGGATTACAACTCTTTTTTTTCCTGACACTGCTATTGCATAAAAATTTAATTTCCATTTTGCAGATGGCATTTAAAATTGAAATTCAAAATAAACTCATTAAAATATGAATGGTACTTTTGGCCCAGCAGTTTGAAGTGCAGCTCAGACACCGGCCGCAACRGCAAGTTTGATGTCTGGTAGGG